TAAACATCCACAAGACCCCATCAGCAGACTCAACAGAAAGCAACATACAACAATTTTCCGCCTACGAACAGGACAGGCTTTTCTACCATGTGCATAAAATAAGGATTGTACATTCCCCACAGTGTGCCTGTCAAACAAAACCACAAACACCTGAACACATTCTACACTCTAACAACAACTTCGAAAAGAAATCTGGCCTCAAGTGTGCAGAGCAAGCTGTGGAGAACCATGAAGGACCTGCTACTGACATGCAGGTTCATAGAGACAACCCACCTGATGATCTGATCTGAGCATACGAAACCAAACGCAAAGAAGGACACCAAAAAAGTAAAATTCACAATAACTATAATGTAATAAGTGCAACATAAGTAAACAGTCTCAAAGGAAAGATACAGCAGAATAATCTAAAAACAGGACAATATTGAACCAAGAACCTCATTAAAAAAAAAAATGACTCCTTCTCTGGCCAAAACAGCCGTCGTGCTCATCATCGCTACTGATATAGTTTAAAGTTAATGGTAATACTGGGCACTACGTGCCCGGGTGGCTACAACTCCAAGTTACCATACAAATACTTATCCACAGTGATGAAGTAGCTCCTCTTTTCAGTTCCTATTAAAGCAGTCACTATTCATAGTGTTGAACCTAATGGTTGGCAGCAGTTCTTGGAATTAAATGTCACTGGGTACTATATATCTAATAATAGATTTACTGTTTATATATCGATAGAGATAGGCTCACTTTTTTTTAAACGTAATGTTCAAAAATAGCATATTATTGTCTCTTTAAGGTTTTGGCTGACAACGGTGTATCTAGGATAGACCTTGGATTGGTGGCACCTGATTATGATGGATGTGCACAAAATGACATCTCGTAAGTGTGACACCATAAGTCACCACTTCGAGTATCACCAAAGCGACTGGCGTCATGGACCAACAGGGTACTGGTGTACTGGAACTGGTAAGGTGTTGACTGATGGCTTGTATTTGGATGCACGAATAAATAGTAGTTGGGATATTTGGAATATGATCGTTACCATATTTGGAATATTATCCTTACTACGCCCCCAGAGCAGTCAGTATACATCCTACAAACACAAAGGAAACAAGGGTTAGCAAACCCTTAAACACTGTTTCATGTTTACAATTCAACAAAATACATCAGTCAGTATGGAATGTTCAGATTATAGTTATATATAAGAGTCATTTCAGCAAACAAAGATATATCCGAGGCAAGGTTTTGGAATTACCTTCGGCTTCCGGAGTGTTAACAATGGACTCGTAGGTGTGGAATTATTGTAATGTTTGTCTTGGACTTTTACATATTACTTACCTGAGTATTCCTCGATCCTTGGTATGGCTGTATTGGTATAGGTAGTCTATAATCGATACGAAATGGTTGAAATCACTCTTTTGAACTGGAAGGTGCCAGTGTTGCCAGTGTAGATTTATTAGGCAGAGCAGCGATTACTATCTATCCTTGTTTGCTAAATTAACTCCTATATATATTTATATATATATATATATATTATATATATATATATATATATATATATATATATATATATATATATATATTAGGGCTGTACCGAATATTCGCTTTGTATTCGCTTCGGAGCCGAATAGTGGACCTAATAGCTATTCGGTATTCGGCCGAATAGTGGCGGTCGGGCCGAATACGAATAGTGATTTCGGCATACACTGCGATGGACTGTAATACTCTCTCATTAATAATGTCACAATTTATAGCCGACTTTTCTTGATTTTCGCCGAGGCACCCCTGGCATACGCAACCAGTTGTAGAACCTCTGCTGTAATGCCTCGGAGGAGTCAGTAGGCGCTGTTACCACGCAACCGAGTAGTAGTTTTTCCCGCTGCGACAGATTTAGGCAACGCTACTGTTGTGTTAAAGAAGGCATAAAGAAACTTGAAAGTTAAAATTTAAATTGTCTTTCCTCGCCACTGTCGAAAAAGTTTTTTTTTTCTTTCTCGTTTCACACTCAAAGTCTATCATGCTGCATAAAATGCCAAACACAGCGTGCTAAAAACTGTCTTTGTATTTATACCGATATGCGACCGACCCTCCATCTGTATTCGTGAAGGTGCAGCAGATAAGTAAGGTTGTGACAACATTTTTGCTCAAATTTTGAAGGGGAAAATGTGGTCTGAACAATATTAACTATTAGCCTCGTCAAGAAGGAGACAGTCATCATTTTTCGGCCATTTTATAAGAAGAGTGACAATGGAACATGTGGTGACCACTGGAAAGATTTGTGGAAGGAGAGATAGAAAAAGACAACGAGAGAAGATTCTTGACATTCTTGTTGCATGTCATGGAGGTGTGTCAGCCCACGAACTGATACATGCTGCAGGAGATCGCAGATTGTGGCGAAGCAAAATCGCCAACACTAGTCGACAAGGCACCTGATGATGATGATACACTATTCGTATTCGTATTCGGCCGAATAGTTGGTCCTACTATTCGTATTCGGCCGAATAGTGAAAATCACTATTCGGTACAGCCCTAATATATATATATATATATATATATATATATATATATATATATATATATATATATATATATATATATATATATATGATCCGTAAAACAGATGCACACGCAACACTCAGGTTCTGGAACATACATATAGACTACCTATACCAATACAGCCATACCAAGGATCGAGGAGTACTCAGGTTAGGAATATGTAAAAGTCCAAGACAAACATTACAATAAATCCACACCTACGATTCCATTGTTAACACTCCGGAATCCGAAGGTAATTCCAAAACTTTGCCTCGGATTTGGCGACGGACCAAAACTGCTATCTAGGTCACCAATCGATCAGAAAGCCTTCATCCCCAGTTATATTTCTGAGCGTAAACTAAGCATGATCAAATCATATCAGAAAGGATACATTAATTCCTAGATGTCACGAATATTATGAGATATTTTTCATCGGCATGTAGTTGAAACTTTCTGGTTAGAGCGTTTCTGCAGTTTGAGACACTGGCGGTCGTTTCAGCTAGGTTTTCACAGTTAGATTGGTCTTGCTAGCAGCAGCAGGGAACAACAACTCAACCAAGTTTAAGTTATATTAAAGTACGACTTACCCATGCTCTACTGAAATTCCCGAGTGAAAGGGAGATTTTCAAAATATAAACGGATAGAGTTGACAGAAAAGTCGTTAGGTCGTCTATATACTTTGGAAGTTGGGTCGAAAATTTCGCCAACGATCTAAGCGTCCCTCAAGTCAGAAGCGGGAAGAATTCTTTTCGCGAAATAGGTGGTAGTTCGGTCTATGGAAAAAGGCTTCACTACTCTTAGAAATCACTTACCTGTGAGTGAATTCATAATATAACTCACTCCCAATAAATCTAGGATTGAACTAGGTTCCTTTACGGACATCCTGACCTACATTTGTAAAAAAAAAAAAAAAAAACAGGACTATATACTTATAGAGGAAAAGTTCATATTTGAATACTGGTCATTTACATGGGGGTGGGGGGTACAGGATGGGAAAGACCATATCGCCGAGGGGTGTTCTGGCTGTCATGTGACAAGCATATTAGTATTATTAGAAACCAATAAACGAGTGTGATCCCAGACTTTAGTGATCATCTAAGATGGCTTACAATGACAAGCTACTTGTATCGATATAACACAGGATGATGAAAACAAAAACTGAAAATATTCGAATGTCGAATTAAAAACTTCAAGAATGAGAAGAGAAATCAAATTGTGAGTAAGAAAAACAAGGATGTACTACCACAAGCCCATATGTTTCAGAATGTGATTATTATTATTAATATTATTTTATACTCCTAGCCGCAAGATTTCCAATCTGGGACAGATGAAGAAAACAAAGTGAAACTATAAGAGCATATTGCAGGTGGGAAAAAACACGTTATTACCATGTTTATGGGGATTCAGCAGCAATGTCACAATCTTGAAGATGCTCAAAAAGCTGAAGCTATGATATCTATGTGCATATTTGTGTGGGTATAAGTGTGCATTTATATGTGTGTGTGTCTGTGTGTGTGAGAATTAGAAAGGGTTTTCTTCTTCTTGATCTTAACTTTTAACTGACTTATCTGAAATAGTGAACTGCAGAAAATAATAATATTTTTCTTCTTTTTCTATTTTACGCTCTTCTCATTCCTTCTGTTCTTATCCTGTGCATATTATTATTATTATTATTATTATTATTATTATTATTATTATTATTATTATTAGTATTATTATTATTATTATTACTATTATTTTTTTATCATTATTTAAAAAAAAAAAACTATTGCTTTATTACACAGAATACTCTATGAGTGCAGAATTTCGAAAAATTACACCCTAGAACTGTTGTGGACGGTTAAGACGTAGGTATGCAGGAAAAGTATCATACGGAAAAACTTCATCCACTGTAATTAGTGTTCAATTATTTATAAATGAGAAAACAAATTTGAGCCAGGAAGACAAGCCCGTGCTGTGATGTTTGCGTACCAATTTTACCCGCATTTTTTTTTTTTTTTTTTTTTTGATCAATTTAATCATTTCTAGCTCAGTTATCCCTTTTACAGCGTTACGGAATTCTATTCTATTATCTATTGGTGCTAAATACGACAACTCTCTTCCTTTTTTTTTTTTTTTTTAATCCGGTATTTATGTTACATGAATTTGTCATTGCGTGTGTAATCTCTTTGTGCGGTGGTCATTTCTTGTGCCTGACGCCACGTTGTGGCACTTGTCACATTGTCGCTGATGTGAACACAACGTTCACGGCCACACCAAAATGTGACAACACCACACACTCCCCAGCCACACAGCTCACAGAGACCAGCAATTATTAATGCAATTTCATTGGACAAAATGGATGGGGACAATCTCCCTTGGAAGCCCCTGAAGGTTCTAGCCTGGGAATATTAAGTTCCGAGCTTTACGCAGAAGAATAAGAATTCGGCAAATTACATTTAGAGCAAGAGATAAAGAGCTTGCTTCCAATTATGGATGGACAGTTCAATGCTTTGCTCACCTCTGATGATATCGGATTTCTCGATACACCGGACGGCGGCAGTGGATTCTATTTCCCTCTCTGTGGACAAATGGATGACAATGAGACCAATGTTAACAGATCAAGATTCGAAACAACAGACACTGGCTGCATTCCCAACAGGTAAGCTTGCTTGGTCTGCCCTATAATCTGTGTGTATGTGTGTGCGAGCACGCGTGCGTGTTAGTGTGTATATGTGTGTGTAGCTATGAGGGGGCGGAGATGTATATGAGACGTATGTGTGTATGCGCCAGCGTGTGTAATGTTTAATGGCATTCGTAGTCTTGTGTTTCGAACTTCTTCTTCTTCTTCTTCTTCTTCTTCTTCTTCTTCTTCTTCTTCTTCTTCTTCTTCTTCTTCTTCTTCTCTTCTTCTTCTTCTTCTTCTTCTTCTTCTTCTTCTTCTTCTTCTTCTTCTTCTTCTTCTTCTTCTTCTTCTTCTTCTTCTTCTTCTTCTTCTTCTTCTTCTTCTTCTTCTTCTTCTTCTTCTTCTTCTTCTTCTTCTTCTTCTTCTTCGCTGTTAACTTCGGCGAAATGTTCTAGTTACTCATCCAACCTGGATTTTGGTTTCGTTCCACAACCTGAGTTTTGCATGTACATCTGTTTTACCGAAATGGCTTGTTGTCAGCAGACCGTTAGTTCCTCGTCTCTCAAGAAGATGCAATCCAAATTCGAATGAAACATCCCTAATGAGTAAATTTTATTTTCGATTAATACCAGCCCCCCCCCCCCCCCCCAAAAAAAAACCGAAATGAGTACGCCCACAATACAAGTCGAAATGCGTACAGGTTATACTGTTAACAGATATCACCTTAATGACCTGTTATTAATATTTTAAATGCGTACTTGTGCCCCCTTAGACATTACGTTTTTAGCAAACCTAAACTATAAATACTTGTAAAATATTTTTTCAACGTAATTGCAATAATTTATAATGACTAAGAAAATAAATTGACATGTAACTTAAATTTGACTTTGAAAAATAAGGCAAGCAAATTTTGCAAGTTATCTTTTAATTCTCTTTAAGCGGTAGTAAAAACTTGTCGGTAATAACACACAAATTAAGATGTTAACTAAATGTATTGTTGATAAGTAAAGCAAAAAATGATATGTTCTTATCCTCAGTCATCCTCATGTGGGAAGTACTTACTTACTTACTTAGTCGCTCCTCTTCTACCTTGGGGTGTAGAAGTTTGCCAGAGAGATCGCCAGACGTCTCTATCAGCAGTTTTTGTGGGAAGCAATGTTTCTTTATCTGAAGCCCCAGCCTGGCTTCTGCCGGGGGCCCTGAATATAGCCTAGGCATAGATATGGTCTAGCCATAGTTATGGCCTAACGGCTGAAAGGGGTTTCTGGGACCTCGCCACGGATGATGCTTTGTGTCACTGTGTGTTTATCCCTTGTATGATGTCCTAATGGGGTAAAAACTCAATCAGTCAGTTAGATATGTTCTAAAAAAAGGTATATTGTTTAACTGTTCATAAGTAAACGTCTGTAATAAAACAGATTTCAAGAGGTAAATTGATGTGTCAATGAAAATTAGCAACGAAAACCATAACCTTTCTTCAACTGCCCGCAAGTAAAACAACTGATAAGCTTACTGTCGAACTAATAAGAAGTCAGGAGTAAAGCGACGCAAGTGAGATAAAGGGTTGATTTATAAACCTTTTTTTAAGCAATCATCATCATGTAGCAGGTCCTTTGCAGAACGTCGCTCTCATCACTGTCTGCCCTAAAAAAAACTCGGTCTCTGGCCAGTTCTCCTGACTTCTGCACTTTCACACTCAAGGAGTCACTTATATCCTGTGCCCATCTTCGTGTCGGTCGGCCCCTGCCCCTCCTTTCTGGTACCATGCCTTCTGCAATGATTTGTTCAAATCCGTTGTGGCGCTTGATATGACCAAAATATTTAAGCTTCCGAGACAGGATGCTGTTTATTAGCCAATCTTCCTTGATGTTCAGATCTTTTAAGATGTCAATATTTCTCACATTCTCTGTCCAAGATATTCTGAGAATCTCTCTATAGCATTTCAGCTCAAACGCCCCTATTCTCTTTCTTAGGGACTGAGAGATAGTCCACGACTCACATTTGAATGTAGCCACAGGGAAGATGCATGCTCTCAAAATTCCAATTTGTATCTCCTTCTTCTTCTTCTTCTTCTTCTTCTTCTTCTTCTTCTTCTTCTTCTTCTTCTTCTTCTTCTTCTTCTTCTTCTTCTTCTTCTTCTTCTTCTTCTTCTTCTTCTTCTTCTTCTTCTTCTTCTTCTTCTTCTTCTTCTTCTTCTTCTTCTTCTTCTTCTTCTTCTTCTTCTTCTGCCTTTCTATCCCCCAAGGGAGCATAGGCCCTCAACCAACTCAGCCAAGTCGTTCTATCCTTCGCCATTGCATGGAGCTCTCCCCATGTCCTCCCCAAATTTTTAACTTCATTCTCCAGCTCTCTTCTCCATGTGTTTTTTGGCCTTCCTTTATTCCTATGCCCCTGTGGGTTCCAATGCTAAGACATTCTAGTTAGGCTGTTCTCCTGTTTTCTCAGTGTGTGTCCGAACCAACGCCAGCGTCTTTTCCTCACCTCTTGGTCCACTGGAGCCTGTTTAGTTCTCTCCCAAAGTTCTACATTAGTTATTCTATCATACCATTTAATTCCCTCTATTCTGCGCAGGCACCAGTTAATGAATGTCTGTAATTTATTAGTAATTGTCTTAGTTGTTCTCCATGTTTCCGCCCCATACAATAGTACTGATTTAACATTAGAATTAAAAAAAAAAAAATTTAGTTTAGTATTTTTTAAAATTTCTTTTGACCTCCACAAATTCCCTATATATGTGGCTGGATGGACTCCGAACCCATATTGTTGCGGATATCTCTCTCATAAAGTAAAGGTTTTAGTGCAAGTATATAATTTTAGTAAGTTTTAGAAGGCCTGCACAACTTCAAAAATCTGTAATTCAGTAACCATTCGGTGTAAGTTGTTGAATTGTCTCATGTAGCCATTTAATAATCATTTCACTGTAAGATTATTTTTTAATGTAAGCAAAAATCTAGTTTTTATATGTGCGTGTGTGTGCGCGCGCGCCCGCGAGCCTTGTGTGCTATATATGAAAAAAAAAGCAGACGCCCCATCAAAGCAAACAAATAGTATGCTTACAGTAACTTAAGTAAACTGAATAAGGGTACTTGACAATAATTTATATGTCTCTCGTTTCATAGGCGATTCCCTCTCCCGTAGGAACTACAGCATTAGTCTGCAGCGAGTTGCGGATTTTTCATTGAGTGGAGGATAGGCTATTAAAATAATCACCACTCATTGCTTCACATGCGAACTGATTTGTAATCTCCACGTGTGTGTTTATTACTGTATATTCTATTTATTTCGGGATACAGAAATTATTAGTCAAAGATCAAATAAATTTACCTCTTTAAGAAAGCAGCACCGTCTGTGCAATTCTAAATTTTAGAATCTTAAGGACGTGGGAAATCTAAGGCTTACCTGTATTGATCCGTACAAAAGTTTTCTAGATATCTATTAAAATGCAGCGACATGAGTTTTGGAACGTACTATAAATGTGCAAGCTCATTACATAGCCTTGATTCTTTTTGATAATTGCAGGTATTATTGTGAAAAAATCAATCATAATAGCAATAATAAAAGTTTGGTTGACTCGTAATATCCGTGGAAATGCCGATACGTGACACTATACGGCAGTTATTAGTATTTAAATCTGTCATGATGGGTCTGTACAATTACTAGCTCATGGTATAATAAGGGGAAGTTGCCTGCTTTCTGTTTTCTTTTGCAGATTTGGTTAAAAGGCCTTATTTCAATGGAGAAATTCTTCATTGTGGAATTGGTTATTATTATTATTATTATTATTATTATTATTATTATTATTATTATTATTATTATTATTATTATTATTATTATTATTATTATTATTATTATTATTATTATTATTATTATTATTATTATTATTGCTTAAGATTAAACTGAAAACTAATATATGTCAGTAAGCATTTACTGCGTTGATAAATTTCCATAAAATATTTAGCAAAAACTTCAAAAGAAGTACACAGCAGAAGAGCTACACTGAGAATGGAAGCAAGAGAAACTAAAATAACTAATTATACTTATGTCCCAAACTCAGAGGCAATTTGTGTGTTTGTTTTAAATCCCCACCGGGGCTGTTTGCGGGGCCCTAATATAACCCAACCTGAGGGTTGAACAGTATTTATGTGACCTGTCCCCGTGTGATCCTCATCCCAATGGTGGCACTTTGTGTCACTTAGTGTTTATCGCTCAGTGTGATGTCCTGGTGGGGTTGAAAGTCATCATCACTTGAATAACTAGTAATGCAGCATGCGAAAAGAGAAACTATCAGATTTGATGCGATATGTATGTGTGCAACAAGGGAGCCGTCGTGGCATAGGGCATGGGGTCGGATTTTGTTTTTAAAAATCACCCTAATTCCTAGGTCGACCCAGCCTAAATGAGTACCAGATGGACTACTGGGAAGTAATGGATGCCAGACTGATTGTGACCGTATCACCCACCTAGTGCCCATTGTTCTATAACAATTTGAGTCTAGCATTATGTACCAGATTACGCAACTGGCATATAAATCAACTGCCTCTACAGCCATTCTTTGACTTGAGAATCAGCTGCCCACACGTGTTGTGACTGTAACTGACTTGCAAAACATGCTAAGAAAAGTGGAGACATGTATACTTCGTGGTACGCATCGCTTCAGAGGTCCATGGTAGTTAACATTTTTTGAATACTTTTTCATAGTCATGTAGATGCATTGGGAAACGAACATGCTGAAATGCTGGCTGGTTTTGTACAAAACGTTGGTGAACTGATGCATGACAAGTTAGCAGTTGTCAAATCCCTTTAGGGAACGAGAGGACAGTGCAGAATGGTGCACACTCCACACTCAAAGGAAAGGCAAGGTGGGTATATAGCCCGACTGCTACTGGTGCAATCGGAGTTGGAACTCTTCGCTGGCTGCTAAAGGTGGGGATGTCTCGGGTTATGAGATGTCGGTTCTGGAAACCCAGCTCAACTTTTCCCTGTGTATGGAACTTGCAAGTATATTGTAAACACTACGCTAGCATAACAATTGATAATGATGTCAAAGCAACAAATTAAGAGGTATGTGCAACATAAATAAGGAATTTTCTAGACCTCTTTTCTTTATGCAGTGAACTCTTAATACAAGTAAAAACACAATGAATCACCGTCGGACTTCAAAATATCAAAAATTTAAATTAGCTAGCCGTTTTGTGAAAAGGACGTGTGTAATCACTTCTCTTTGTGAGTCATTTCTTCTAAGAGATACTCATTACTCTTCTGATCTGTCCAGTGTCGTCTCATCATTCGCCAATACAACCACAACCCCGCTGCTTCCAAATAATCTTTTATTAATATCTCACAACTGTTCGTGATTCACTTCCGTACATCCGTTTATGCCTGCTTACAGCATTAAACAAATAGTTACGTATCCTTTAAATGACTTTGCAGAGCCAGCCCCAGCGTTTTTGTTTAACGTTTTGTGATTTCGCCTGAAAATTGTACATATAGTAGTTTGCCACTGCTAATGAACGGTCGGCTTTCGATACATCTGGTCGAACCAACGCAACGTGGTCTACTGCCATTTTCCAACCTGTTCGCATAGCCTAAGCCTTAGACGTCGTTTGTAGAATGGCTGCCACCTGCGATATTATCTCCTTTCAGTCGACACATCCGACTTTATGGAGCATTGCATGATGCCCAGGTTAGCTATCCAGAACGTTCGAATCTATATCGAGGCACTGATTTCTCTTGTCAATACGGTCTACAGTAGGTGCTAGGAAATGTTCTAACGACAACCTAATGACTAATAACATAAACCATAAACGTTGGGGGGGGGGGGGGGGGGGGGGGGGGGGGGTCCATATAAAACAAAATGATGAAAAAATCATAAAAGAAACAGTTAACAACAACTGATAATTTAATGCCCTAATATCAATGTGATGGCTGACACTGATTTTGTCTTCACCATATTTGTTATTTTTGGTCTGATGTTGGACAAGGCGTTTTATTATATAACTGTGAATACTTTATTATATAGCTGTGAATACTTTATTATATAGCTGTGAATACTTTATTATATAACCGTGAATACTTAATTGTAAATCTGTGAATACTTTATTATATAGCTGTGAATACTTTATTATATAGCTGTGAATACTTTATTATATAGCTGTGAATACCTAATTATATAGCTGTGAATACTTTATTACATAGCTGTGAATACTTTATTATATAGCTGTGAATACTTTATTATATAGCTGTGAATACCTCATTATATAGCTGTGAATACTTTATTACATAGCTGTGAATACTTTATTATATAGCTGTGAATACTTTATTATATAGCTGTGAATACCTAATTATATAGCTGTGAATAATTTATTACATAGCTGTGAATACTTTATTACATTGCTGTGAATACTTTATTACATAGCTGTGAATACTTTATTAAACATTAAACTGGAAAAAATATTAGTATATTACCAAAATTGCTTTACACCTCTTTGAAACTATCTTGCGCACCTCAACACCCCCTCCCCCTTTTTCCGGTTGAAAACCATTGTAGGCTGGAGTACTAGTGACAGAATAACACAACGACTGTCCATTGGTTTATACAGTATTGGTTAGCACTAAATACACCATATGTTTAAGTGTGTATTAAGGTGTGATTCTTTACTTTACTGAATTATTTAATCAGATTTTACAAGTGATGCACTCCTTCTACAGGACTATGGTCGATGGACGTGGAAACTACACAATAAGTGGTCTTCTAGGGCCGCCATCCACTCAAACTCTGTCAGCCTCACCACCACCCCACCATCCATTGTCATCTCTTCGTACTCCAATGACACACCAGCCACTTCCACCTCCTTCCCTTCCACCAACAGCAGACGGCTACAACACGTATCCCACTTCCCCGTACATGACGCCAGTCCGTTCCCACCACCACATCAACAGCAACGGCAATGGAGGTAGCAAGAAAACCCTTGAGGACATTTCCCGTAGCAACAAGCTCATAAGTGGAGATCATGGCGTCCATGACAACTTCCGGGAAAGTGAGTGCCAGGATACCAAATACGGAAGTCACCTGTTTACGGGTGAGCAGTTGTTGTGGTTGTCTATTCTTGGTTTTCTTCTTCTTTCTTTGTCCTACTGCTTATGCTATAAAGCGTCGTAAAAAGGAATTATATATAGTTTCCTGCATTTTGCTAGTTGGGCAGCTTTTATTCATGTCATATTACGTTTTTGTAGATTCATTTTTACTCCATCCACCCATATCTTTCTGGGTCGGCCTCTTGACATGTAGCGTAAGTTTTTATGTAGTATGCTGTAAATGCTGGCTGATTTTGTTTTGTTCCATTCTGACCAAATGACAAAACTATTCAATTCTTTGATGTTCTGTGAAATCGTTTACGGGTACTGTGCCTACAAATGTACATAGTTCTTCCTTGGTGACTCGATCACTTCTTTTTTCCCGCTGCATTTCTCACACATCTGATCTCATGTTTAAATTCTGCGTTTGTGTTTCGTTTTTCTAGGACTGTTATGCTTGGTAAATATAACTCAAGTTCCATTTTCGATTCATCGGGTGTATGGCGGTAGTCCCCATTTTGTATACACTAATCGGAACTCGACCAGTGATATGGTCAATATCACACCAGTCTTAACTTCCCAAGACATGATCTGGTAACCAGTTAAGGCTGGCTCGCCCTGGCAATCAAGGTCGGTTATTGTCAAACCCAAAGAAAAGTAATCACAACTGGTCCGGACCAGTTTCTGTATCATGTGATTACAGCCTGCCAGATTTTAGCGTATGTGCCGTACATTTTTATTTTTTTATTTTTTGTGGTTTGTGTGTGTGTGTGTGTGTGTGTGTGTGTGTGTGTGTGTGTGTGTGTGTGTGTGTGTGTGTGTGTGTGTGTGTGTGTGTGTGTGTGTGCGTGTGCGTGTGCGTGTGCGTGTGCGTGTGCGTGTGCGTGTGCGTGTGCGTGTGCGTGTGCGTGTGTGTGTGTAGTTTCCAGTTTAATAAAATATTCTTTTATAACATGAAACATTTCTGATTAAGCACCAATAACAAATAAGTTACAAATTTTGAGAGCGTGCATCAGCCCTGTATACAGAGGGAGAAAATTAGGTTCTTATGAGCTGAAATGCTTTAGACAGATTCTCGGAATACCATAGACAAAGCCGCAAAGAAATACTGACATTCTGAGGGATATGAACCTCAAGGAATGACTAGCCAACAAACAACATCTAGTCTCGGAGGCTGAAATATTTTGGCCACATCAAGCGCCACAGTGATTTTAGAAAAAATAACAGCAGAAGGCATACAAGGAAGGAGAGGCAGGGGCAGACCAACTCGAAGAAAGAACAGGATATAAATGACTCATTGGACATAAAAGTGCACGTTGCTGGAGAGCCGGCGAGAGACCGAGTTTCTTTAAAGCAGGCAGTAATGAGAGCGATGTTCTGCAAAGGACTTGCTACATGATGATTTTTTCATTGTAAAGCTTAAAATTTTAGTTATCTCTTTTTCAAGCTATACATATTTTTATTTAAGGCATGCAAAAGTCAATTCAGTTCACGCGTTTTCGTGTTATGCGATGTTTTCTCGCGACAAATTAATTAATTAGTCAGAGTACACTAGGCAAATGCAGTCACCTGCCAGTTAGCCCCACTGCTTAGACACCCAAACGTCTTCCTTTCAGCAAATGATTAATAGCTTTTTCCCCCCACACTTTATGTTATCAGTGCCAAACATGGACAATGAATATGGAACTAGAACAGAAAATAAATATATGTGAAATGCGCTGTCTCTGCAAGGTCACTAACAACAAAAGAAATGACAGGGTTACGAATACCAGCATTAGAGAGAAAGTTGGAATAAGACCATGTCTGAATTATATTGACATACAAAGACTGAAATGGTTCAGCTATCTAGTGAGAATGCAGCCAGACCAAACTGCATATCATATTTATTTTTTTAACTGCAGAACATCTTGAAGGAAGGCGAGAGTAAGGCCAAGAAAGAGATGGATAAATGGTGTAGCTGGAAAACTGCAAAAAGGTGAACAAATCCATCAGCCAAGCCACCCGAGAAGCGCAAGACAAACCACGACACTGGGCTACAACCTGGTATCAGTGAGACGACAAAAGAAGAAGAAGAAGAATGAAGGATGTCTTATAACAGGCTACACAGATGTATCAATGCAGATAAACATGACTTATCTTTTTTTTTTTTTTTAAAGTAGAATTTACACACGCATGTTACCTGATTTGTATGTTGTTGTTTTTTCATTTACAGTACGTATAATGCTAATTGTCGGCTCTGTGGCTAAGTCGATGCGAACGCTTCGCTTCGAAATGCCGGGATGCCGGGTTCGATCCCAGTTGCGGGCAATGCGCCTTGCGTTGGTTTCGACAGTGGTATCAAGAAAGCCGACCGTCCAGAAACAATGGCAAACTACTGGACGAAAATTTGCCAAGAGAAACCACACAACAGCCAGGGGCTGTTAGGGTTGGTTCTGCAACGTCCTGTAAAGGATACGCAACTAACTTAATAACTTATAATGCTAATTATTTCCACCACTGTTTTTCTCACAACTATACGGAGGTAATTTAAGAGCTGTTTTCACATAGTGGTCAGAGTTCTTATCTTCTACAACAGTGGTCCAGGAACAACCCCTTACAGTGCCTTACAAAGATATTTTTTTTCCTCCCATAAACCATTTATGTCTGAGCTTTACACAGCAACACAGGAAAGAATACCAGACAATATTCAAAACTGTCACTAAAATTGGCGATGATGATGAAGTGATGTTACTTTATAATGTGATGCCTAGTGATGCTACTTCATAATGTGATGTCTAGTTTTGTTACTTTATAATGTGATGCCTATTGATGTTATTTTATAATGTGATACTTAGTTATGTTACTTTATAATGTGATGCCTAGTGATGCTACTTTATAATGTGATGCCTAGTGATGTTACTTTATAATGTGATGCCTAGTGATACTACTTTATAAAGTGATGCCTAGTGATGTTACTTTTTAATGTGATGCCTAGTGATGCTACTTTATAATGTGATGCCTAGTGATGTTACTTTATAATGTGATGCCTAGTGATGTTACTTTATAATGTGATGCCTAGTGATGTTACTTTATAATGTGATGCCTAGTGAGGTTACTTTATAATGTGATGCCTAGTTATGTTACTTTATAATGTGATGCCTAGTGGTGTTACGTTATAATGTGATGCCTAGTGATGCTACTTTATAATGTGATGCCTAGTGATGTTACTTTATAATGTGATGCCTAGTGATGCTACTTTATAATGTGATGCCTAGTGATGTTACTTTATAATGTGATGCCTAGTGATGCTACTTTATAAAGTGATGCCTAGTAGTGTTACTTTTTAATGTGATGCCTAGTGATGCTACTTTATAATGTGATGCCTAGTGATGTTACTTTATAATGTGATGCCTAGTGATGTTACTTTATAAAGTGATGCCTAGTGATGTTACTTTATAATGTGATGCCTAGTGATGTTACTTTATAATGTGATGCCTAGTTATGTTACTTTATAATGTGGTGCCTAGTGGTGTAACGTTATAATGTGATGCCTAGTGATGCTACTTTATAATGTGATGCCTAGTGATGTTACTTTATAATGTGATGCCTAGTTATATTACTCTATAATGTGATGCCTATTGATATTACTTTATAATGTGATGCCTAGTGATGCTACTTTATAATGTGATGCCTAGTTATGTTACTTTTTAATGTGATGCCTAGTGATATTACTTTGTAATGTGATGCCTAGAGATATTACTTTAGAATGTGATGCCTAGTGATATTATTTTTTAATGTGATGCCTAGTGGTATTACTTTATAATGTGATGCCTAGTGCTGTTACTTTAGAATTTGATGTACAACACAGGTTTATTCAGCTAAATTTACTCAGGGCCAAAATGTCGAAAATGAGGAACTTCACGAGTCAGAGGTTCAAACTCCAGTGTCGCCTTTTACAACTTGTTTATTATTATCACCCCCCCCCCCCCCAATCCTCCCCACTCCGAAAATGGAGCCCTGGAATCCCCACAGGGAGACAAAAACTAACAAGTTAATCGATGTTTTTAAACACGGATGGGTAGAAATTTGGTACTGTTTTTTTTTTCCCTCTGCAGATTATTACTACGCCAAACAGGAATTTCAAAGGCCCAGAACACCTCCGCTACAATGCACTACTTCACCGAAATCAAATTCCTCATCTTCGTCAGCCTCATCGCCATCTTTAACTCCTGTTTGTGGACACAATAACGAAAGTGACGTGCCTGATCGCTACAAGAGTGACATAAATAAGTTTGAGGGCGAAGACAAGTTATCTGGTAGGTCATTGTGAAGTTGTTTGAAAATTGCAGTATCACTGAAAAAAAAAACTTTCAAACAGTTCCCATTTGTTTTCGACAGGGATGATTGCTCTCCTCCGCCCCTCCCCCTACCCCTGCACCTTTCCCCCTTTCCATGTTTCTGATTAATTATCTTTGTCACTAGGTTTTTTTTTTTTTTTTTTACATTATGATTACTCTTTTGAAGTCCAGGGAAGAATTAACTATTTTCTGCTAAACAGCATATCCGGACATCAAAGGATTTTTTTTCCTGCTTGTTTACTGTCTTTGTTTGAAACGCATATGGTATCATTTGTTATTAGTAACAAGAGAAACAAATACCCCCCCCCCCCTCCCTTGCCCCCTTTCCCCCCAGGTGAAGGGGAAGTTGCCTGCTTCCTTTTTTCTTTTGCAGATTTTGTTAAAAGGCCTTATTTCAATGGAGAAATTCTTCATTGTGGAATTGGTTATTATTATTATTATTATTATTATTATTATTATTATTATTATTATTATTATTATTATTATTATTATTATTATTATTATTATTATTTCATGTAAAACTAAGATTTGACTGCTCAGAACACAAGTTATAAGTAGGTTTAAATACCGCTGTGAAATGTTAACCTTAACAGCTGAACTCGAAAAGAAAATACAAGCATTAAAATTTAGATCTTTCAGAAAAATTGTTGACATATCATACAGAGACCACACCCAAAATGAACAGATTCGGTATAACACATTGGTAACTATGAACTTCTTTTGACTACACTGAAAAGAGGGAAAATGCAATGGTGCGGACAAGTAACACGATCTTACTGCCTCTAAAAAAAAAAAAAACTCGGCTCAGTACTTTGGAAGTAGAGAAAAGGCAGACACACAGAAACACTGGATACAGAACTTGACCGACTGGACAGGGCTTAGGCATGTAACCATGAAGTCCACACTGCCTCTGACCGTCAAAGGTGGAAGGCAATCACCAGACAGTAAACGGCAACTGAGTATTATGGGATAGTGATAATGTTGATAATTATGATGTATAGTACATGTATTTACAAAGATGGAATGATTCCAAATCTGTATAGGGAAAATCCTACCACTATCAATGATTTTGACTAGACCCACTATTTAGGTAAGTGTACTGAACACTACGATGCCTTAAAGATAAAACTAACTGATGCACCTGATAAGTCTGTATATGTTAAAGCAAGTGGCCCTAAAAAGGTTCTATTTTTGAGACATACTTCGATTAAAACTTGCTCAGTTTTAAACAAATTTAAGCTCCAGGGGAAATAATCTGAAAGGGAAAGGGAGAGCACTGACAAAGGAATCCTTACAGCGAGATTGAATCAGAATCTGAGAAGCCATAGAGTAGATCCAAGAATCCACAAGCCGGCTTTGGAGTAACATTGCCCGAAAAACAAGATCGATAGCGGGTTGAACATTATTTCAGACCTTGTTTTCTGACCACAGTAAACAAAATATCTTGATTACATGTAATTTAAATAATTTCTGCTTTTGTTGTATATATATATATATATATATATATATATATATATAATACTTAAGTTCCAGTTTCGTCCCTTTAAGGACGAAATTTTTTATTATCTGAAGCCCTACTCTGGCTTTTGTCAGGGGCCGCAATATAGGCAGGCCATACACCAAGTATTTCAATCAATCATGCATTATATTGTGTGCTAAACCATGTGATCATCTTATTGCAGCTGCTACAGACTTAACCGTTACTCGCCAGTCACCTCAAATCATCCCCTTCACTCGTTGCACAGATGCGTCTGTCGCAATCTCAATAGGACGATCAGATCAGACTTCATCAACAATTTTAGAGCATCCTTGAGAATTTTTTTTTAAATCTAGCTTTGCACCGCTTTACGGGATAAACATTTTCAGCATAAACAGGAAGCCTTTTCTTATGAATGTCATTTGCAGCTAGTCCTTTTCCCACCACCCCACCTCCCTCTCACCATCCCACCACACAAACCAAAAACAGCACGTTGTTCGTTGAGGGTACAGTCGCCAATTGTTTTCTGTTTTGCGAATGCTCATGCAACACCTAGCGCCACCTAACGAACGGAGATATGAAGTTCGTTGCTGCTGTTACCCACAGACACCTTTAGAAACTACTTACTGTATTTTTCTTCCATTCCATAGCCATTTGTGACTTACCTATTGACTTCCTTTCGTATTTGGTTACGAACTTCCTCTACCTTAATAAACGAAGTGGATATAAAATGCAGTTTATGGTGCAATTTGGAAATAAAATATACTATGCCCTATAGTCAGTCAGTCAGTCAGTCAGTCAGTCAGTCAGTCACTCAGTTGCATGTCCTTTGCAGAACCTTGCTCCCATAACGACCCTCTGGAAAACTTTCGATGACAAGCAAGATGTCCCGCGTCCGATACACCCATCTGGAGATCCGCCACATCCTGCACCCATCTTCTCTTTGGCCTTCCTCTTCTCTGTTCCCAGGCATATACCCCTCCATTACTGTTCTCTTCAAACTTACGTGACGTTTCAAATGACCAAAATATTTCAATTGCCTGATTGTAATCCTATTGTAATCCTATTGTAATCCTATTGTAATCCTATTGTAATCCTACTGTAATCCTCTTTAATAGCCAACTTTCCTCAATATTCAATTCTCGAAATGTAGACGCATTTGTTTTTGTTTTTTCTGTACCCATGATATTCTTAGAACCCGTCTATTACATTTGTATTTAAGACATTTATGCGCTGTTCAGCTTGTTTTTTTAAGTATCCAGGTCTCACAGGCGTAGGTTGCAATGGGAAAGATGCATGCTCTTAGAAATCTAATATTTGTTCTTCTGTCTGTCCCACTCCATAATTTATTCAGTTGTTTTAGTCTTTGAAGAGCAATTGATAGTCGTCGTTTTATTTCTATATAATGTCCTAAAACATCTGCTAAACTCAAATGTGTTATATGTTAACACTTCACAGAACATAGGTCCCCGTGTGGGTTCCGGGGCCCTATTATAGGGAAATCAAGAATAGACCTACTGCCTACCAAAATGCATGTCGTAAGAGTCGACTAATTGGGAGCTTTCCTTTGAAGTCGGAGTACATCTGCCCGAGAGGCAAGGAACCAGCAGTCTGTATACAAATAAATCAGATCTGTAAAACAGATGCACACTCAATGCTTAGGTTCTGGAACAGGACTGCAGTCCAGATGTGGATGAACAACCAGAACTTTCTGCCAGAGTTTACAGCGGGTGAAGAAGAAGAAGAAGAAGAAGAAGAAGAAGTACATAGGTACCTCGACCGCTGTACATACGAACTTTTTGAGAAACGAACTTTTTCATATCCTATTTTGATATAGACCTAGATTCGATATTCGAAGCGTAATGTACCTGTCTGCGCTGGTGATATTATTACGTCGTCCTTTTGGGCAATACGACGCAAGGAGTGGTGTGTGCAGCGCAAGATGCACATACATGTTTGTTTTTATGTGTATTATTTCGGTAATCAATACAATTAGTTTATACACTCACAGGGGACGCTACGGACAAACAATTCAAATTATTTTTAGATTGTGTGTATTATTTACAACATTGAACCATATAAAACAAACACAGAATAGCTGAAAATCACAACTGATATTTAGAAAGAGATTGTGGGAAAATATGAGAAAGGGGTTATACAAACTGATTTGCACATGGAGTGCTGCTTGTAAAAGTCCACCATAGTTAACGTTCTTAAGAAAGCAGGTTTTAATAATAACTGGGTGTGGCCAAAGGAGTATATATCGTGTCATCTCAAAGAAATGAAGATGTGGAAGAAATGGAAACTACTAATACACGTCTGAATCAATGGCATTCACCTGAAAGCAGATAGTGGGTCTCAGAAAATGATCTGTTTAAAATCTCAAGCTACTTATAAAGATCTATCATAGAAGTTGCCATCCACTACCAGCAACATAGACATAGGTGAAGAATTTACAACTAGCAAATGACGTCTTGGGAAATTCAAGACAAGAACAAACATCATTTGTATTGTTACACATGTAGAAGGTGCTAGTGCTGACAAAAAAAGCTGCTAAAGAATTCGTGAAAGACCTTCAGAAACTGGTGGAGTGAAAAGGTTGCCGACTAGGGCAAGTTTTCAGCTGCAATGAAACTGGGCTTTTCTGTGAGAAAATTCTTAAGAGAATATTCATCATTAAAGAGGACATGGCTTTGCCAGGAAACGAGCCAATGAAAGATAGACTAACTTTACTCTTTTGTTTCAGTCCCATTGGTAATCTGAGGATAAAACATTTGTTGGTTAATCGCTTTGAAAATCCTGGTCAACAACAGAAAGTAAACAGACACAAACTCAGCTGTTTGTATAAAAGTAACAGCAGAGCTTGGGTAACCAGGCAATTATTTTGACAACGAATAAACTGATCTTCCATCTAAACCAGTAAACCGTTAGATGTAATGTGAAACTTGGTGTCGACATTCGAGCTTTTCGACAGACTGAACCAATTAATATTTTTAGTCAAGGCACCACTGTATAAAAACACTGGTAATACTAACCGGCTCTGAAACCTGGAGTACAGTTGAAAAAGACGAAGCCCTTTTACAAACTTTTGAAAACATAGTCTTACCACAAATATTCGATCTCATCAAAGATGCAAACAGCGGAGAATGCAAAGTGAGAGGCAGACCTACAAACACTTGGAATTGCAAACTGGAAACAGTGACCAGTCGACCAGTCACGGAAATAAATAGAGGTTGACAATACCTGCGGTAATAAACCTTAAGGCCAGGAATGAAGAAGAAGAAGAAGAAGAAGAAGAAGAAGAAGAAGAAGAAGAAGAAGAAGAAGAAGAAGAAGAAGAAGAAGAAGAAGAAGAAGAAGAAGAAGAAGAAGAAGAAGAAGAAGAAGAAGAAGAAGAAGAAGAAGAAGAAGAAGAAGAAGAAGAAAAGAAGAAGAAGAAGAAGAAGAAGAAGAAGAAGAAAAAGAAAAAAGAAGAAGAAGA